CCTCCAAGAACTGATTGTCATCTAAATACTCTTTTATCACCTGGGCAGAAATGACAAAGTCTAATTAAGTCGGGGTTACTGTAGAGAGTGGAGGTGGGTATGCAAAGACCTGCAGCAGGCAAAGATGTTGCAGAAAGTTTAACATGCAAGATGCAAATGCTGTCAGAAGAGATGTGGGAGTGGAGCAGAGCAGGGATGTTGATGTGATTTTTTTTACCTGTTATAAAAATTCAGACAAGTGGAAAAACAGGATCACATCCCGGAATTCGTATCCTGTAGAACCCATCATTAAATTTTAAGAAATTTCAAGAAGACTTGAGAAAATATGATTTCTTTATCAAGAAAAAAGAAAATTCTTGGTTATTTTGATTTGAAAGGGACAGGATGGATATCAGTTGAGCAATCCCTACAAAGACTCTACTTCTATGACACTTTGATTAAAATAAGTTGGTTTTAAGTTAAAGAAGCATTACATCAATGGATGCAATCTAGAATATTCTGAATAAGAAGGCAAGTTTAATATGGTTCAAATAGGTAAGTTTGACATTGGTATAGAGTCAACAAAAAATCTGTTGGCTAACAGAGTTAAAAAAAAAAAAACACTAGTATAATTTTGGTGAGATACAGAGATAATCAGTCTATATACATATATTTGACTTGATTAGTAAAACTGTATACAGGACTGTTAGTGGTGGATAAACTTGGCACTGCTAAAGATATTCTAAAACCAATGACTATATTAACAAGGCAGTACAAAATATTGCTAATTATTAGAGTTAATTAATATCCTACAGAACTCCCTCTTCATGTCTCTTAGGAGAGTATATTAGTTGATATCCTCAAAGAAAAAGTTTGTTGTAATTGTTGAGACATTTCCTATAATAATCTTAGCATTGAGGTTGAACATAAAAGCTTAAAGTATGAATATTTTATATTATATTATTTTAATATTCCATGTGCATACCTTATGCAAATTAACTTTCTTATAGCCTCATACTGACCTTTACTTTATTGAAGGAAATTAAATTGTACATTGAATCTGCTTAGGCTCCTTCAGAATGTATTTTCCCCTCTATAATGGAGAGGCTTAAAAGAAGGCTTTAGTATCCTAAGTTATCAATTTTACTATATAATGAAATAAAAATATAGATAATTGGTAAAATATTAAAATACTAAATATTTTGTTTACTAAGGATGAAAATGAAATACCAATGTTTAAAATATTACAATATGGCAGAAATTTAAATGTCTATTACAATTATCTCTTAATATCTTAAGGATATAAGGGTTATTTCCTGGTATATTTGACATTTTTCTCAGGCTGCTTAAAATTGGTGAAACAAATATTATGACACAGATAGTTTGATTCAGTAAATATCTTAAAATCCTAAATTTTTACTTCTGATAATATATTCATATATTCAGAAATAAAAAATACCTTGCATATCTAGAAATGAAATAAATGTATTTTTCTGCATGTAGTTATAAAAAAATAAACTATTTTCCATTTTATCTGAGGATGGTTTTATTTTTCATGTCTTTGATGATTTCTGAGGGAATTAAGACTGCAGGTTGTATATTTTCTGATCATAATTTTGATAAAATTCAAAAATATGGCTTTATGATGATTGGTAGCACCAGTCTCATATACTGAAGAATAAGAAAAATAACTTTGGTTTCCCATGCCTCCTTTATTTTAAATTCACATTGCATCTTATTTTCAAAACTCTGAAATCATATTTCATGGACTGTACTTCTTTTATCTAAACATCCTGATTCAATTTTCATATTAAAATGTCTTTGAATGTAGAATCATGTATGCAACCAAAAATAGAAGTTTGATGTTTAATTTTGCACCCAGAAATACTTTTGTTTGTAAGATAGGTTCAAAAGGAAACTCATCTATAAAAAGAGAGTTTATAGATTAATGTCAATAAACTATACTTAGTTTAGGAAGATGAAGACAAACAAACCAAATCTGAGATAAATAAGCCAAGTCCATGGGATCACATGGATATGAACATAGACTTCTTCATTGATTCCAAGATAAAAAAGACCCAAATGATTCTTTCAGAAATTTTAGTTTTAAGATAAATAAAAGAGCCAGGCACAGTAGTGCACACCTATAATCCCTGCAGCTCAAGGACTGAGGCAGGAGGTTCCTGAGTTTAAAACCAGCCTCAGCAAAAGTGAGGTGTTAAGCAACTCAATGAGACCCTGTCTCTAAATAAAATACAAAATAGGGCTGAGGATGTGGCTCAGTGTTTGAGTGCCCCCGAGTTTAATCACCTATACTAAAAGGAAAAAAAAGTAAAAGAAAGAATAATAACACATGAAGTACTAAGCTTGTTGAATCAAGGGACTGTAAAACAAAAAGACCCATACAACATATTAAGATAATGCAGAAATTTATTTTCATTCAGAGAACTTTTTATTGGAATAAATTTTCTACTTCTCCAAAATCCTCTAGTATTTTTTTTAACACAGTCTAAATTTCCTTTTGTATGAATCACTGTTATGATTTTTTTGGTAATCCTTTATTTTATGTAGTATAATTAGAATTTTAATAAGGAGGACTTTCAATAATAGCTTGAGAATGTATGATCATGATTTTATCTCTTTTCTGAACAATTTTGTTGTTGATATCATCTGGTCAAAATCATCTAAACCATCACTTATCATTTGAAGAGATTTCACCAAACAATCCATTTTGCATCTTGCCAAAGACTCAGCCATATAACATGGAAGAAAAAAGTTAACTTCTTTGATTAAACATAATTAACATTTTCATTAGTGTTAGTCATTCCAGTATTTATCTTATGGATGAATTAGAATATTACAAATGAGAAAATATTAGGTACTTTTTAATATGTGGATATATGTACCATATATGAAACATTAACAAGAGGCAATGAGACATTTTATAACAGAAAAGAATAAGCAGTTTAAGTTTTATAAAAACAATTTAACAAAATATATACAAATTAAGGTAGCTTATATTTAAAAATGAATTTAAGAGAATCATGTATTTTAATATATTGAACATATCTTTGGCATATAAACCAAAGAAAGATCACCTTAAAATTTTTAAATTGAATATTTATTAAATTAAATATGTGATTTTAATATAAACCAGTGGAGTATCTTAATCTTCCCAAAATCTGGAAGTCTAGAATTACGTTCACAGAATCAGGACTTCCAGATTTTTGGAAGAATTTAGATAATTAATTTAGATAATTAATAATAAATTAATTAATTTAGATAATTAATAATAAATTTAGATAATGTAATTAACTTCCTATTTTTCAGAAAATAAAATTTTCTGATTTCTCATTGTTCTACAAAGATTGCCATTCAATTAAATAATGGTTTATTATTTTCTAAATAAAACTATGCATATATATATATATATATATATATATATATATATATATATATATATTTGTTGGCATGTATATACATGGTTTTGGGTTTGATCCTCAACACCACATAAAAATAAATAAATAAATCAAAGATATTGTGTCCATGTACAAGTAAAACAAAAAATAAAAATAAAAATGTTTATTTCTGGTGTGTTTGATTTCATGGAAAGTATAAATTTTGTCTCATTGTGTCACCCCAAACATTTACCTAATGAATTTTTTATGAGAATAGTGATACTATGTGATGGGAAGAAATGCACTCTACCCACTAGATAGAATAATTATAACAATTATAAGTTATTATCTTTAAAAGTCAAATTATTTGTGTTTGGTGGGTTTGTGTATGTGCTTGGGTGTATAGTACCCTGAAAATTTCTTGAATTTAAAAAATTTTTGCAAAATAGCCATCTGGAGAAAAGAATAAATGGACAAAAAGCAGAATAGAAGAAACTAAACTGAAGTAATTACTAAAAAGAAATTCATTTCATGGGACTAAACTGAAAGACCACCATTTCCTTCATGATCATGTGGCTTATTGGAGAATGTGTTTATTACTGTATATATCACAGTATACAGATATTCAAATAATACAAATGAATACAGTTTAATGGGTTGGATAGTGATTTGCCAATTAATTTATTCCATAGTTTCAATTATCATATATTTGATTTTATAGTTGATGTTCATTTGTCACCATCTCTTTAATGTTCTGTTTTTCAATATTACATTAAAAAATTTACTTCCAAAGCCTCCATGTTAATTCATTTTCTCTGAATAAAACCTAAATACATTTCTGGGAGTTCCTACTTTAAGGGAGCTTTCAATGAGGGTGATGCCTATTTATTTATTCTATGAAATCAGTGCAAATTTCCAAGGATTGACCTTTTGAATCAGGTTTCAGCGGAAACACAGTGAATCTATACTTGACCCCATCATGTAGACTACACTGAGACATACTCTGATGATGGTACAGCAGACACTGGTGCTTGACTAATTGTGTCAAAACTGCCTTGCAATTCTTTAGACCCAGGTAAGGCAAGATGCACCTGGATGTTTAGCTTGTGATACTGAAATTATTGTTTCGTGAATTTACTCATATAGGTATTCCATTGGGTATAGTATCCTCAATGATAAATTACACTGTTTTGTTCATCTTTGAGTTTCTGATATTCTGTTGAATAAAACAGAGGTGAAGCATGACAAATGCTTTTGAACTATGGGGAATCTGTATGATTCAATAAGAATAAATGAGGTATAAGGTATGCTAAGCTACAGGTGGCTAAGCAAGTGTGTTCCTGATTTCATTTATATCGCTTTGATCTCATTTGAGTTCATGTATAAATATTACAGTGTCTTCACATGCAACAACAGTTTGGTGTTGAGAAAATAATTGTTGGATTTCACAGGTTGATGACAAATTTTCCATCTACTTCCTTGCTCTAGTTAAATATAAAGAGTCTAAAAGCAGAATTGTGACATTTTTTGATAGGTCAGAATTTAACAGTGATTCAGTCTTTATTTTCCCCCACAATTATTGCTTATTTGTTACATTTAAGAAATCAGAGATGAAGCTATAAGTGGACTATCAAAAAATTAGTAGGTTTTTATTCTAAGTTTCTGATATTTAAAATATTTCCTTTTAAAATTTCATTTCTGCTGCAGAAAATTTAATTAGTAAGTAAAACACCATATAAGCATGTGTGTTTACTGTGAAATGATTTTATCCTTTAAAATCAGAGCTTGTAAAGAGTTTTATATTTTTCACATGCAATGTTTTACTACTAATGCTGCTTTTAATAAACATTTTAAGTTTTTTTCTAAAAAATTATGAGTTTTATAAGGCACAACCAATAAAATGAAATGAACCAAACCAAATCAAACCAAACAAAAAACAAAATTTAGGTAAAATGCATTGATTGATACATGTGCATATGCAAGGAAAGGTGAGTGATGGTCCACGTGATCAGTCATAGGTGGATTTGCTCTCTGAGGTAAAGATGAAGGATGATTGGTTCAAAGCATGGCTTTCATATGGCTGTGTATTCTGGAGTTCAAACTATCAAAAACTCTAGTCTTTCTGGAAAAAGAAAAGTTTCTTTCTCTCTTCCTTTTTCTCTATCACTCCTGTTAGATTCACTTCTGAGCATCCAGTGATGATCAGTACCAAATAAAATTTGTTCATTAAATATTTGTCCATTCATTAAATATGTTGCAGAAAATTTATTTTAACATATTACCTTTTATTTTTATGGTTCAGTTAACATAGTTGAATACATATATTGTGGAATAAATTTGTGTGGTTATATATTTTTTCTTAAGATAGATAATAATTACAAAGTCAGGACACTAAATATAAGACCAGTTAATATAGCACAATGAAAATAAAATTGATGTGTTTAAACTTAGTTAGCAGCATAGCTAAGTGTGAGCATTTTGGAGATATATATCTTCAATATGATTTGTTCTTTTTTCTCCTAAGGAAGGACTGCTTTGTAAAAATTAAATAGTTCAGATTTTTCTTTGTGAATTTAGAAAAATATTTAAACTTTTAAAATGTTTTTGTAGTTTTTAATTTAGTTAAAATATCATGATTTACTTTTCTATGCACTGCAAAATTATAAAAGTTTTTATAAAAGTAATAGTTATCCGCATACTTTGTTCAAGGAAATCTTATTATTCTCAAAGAACATTTGTTTGATGTGTAACCAAGGCAAAAATTATAATTAAAATGTGATACTTAAATACAGGAAATGATTTCCATAATCTCATCCACACACTGAAGTCAATTAATCTATACTTGGCACTTTACAAATATTTCAAAATTTAATCATCATAAGAACATTGTAAAAGTTTTATTCTAATATTAAAAATAAATTTTGAAGTGTAGAATATTTAAGTTACTTTCCAAACATATATTTGATAAGTAAGCAGAGCTAGAATTAAATTTAGTGAGTCTCTTGTGTATGTCTTTTGCCTCATGTTAAAGCCTTTACTCTGGCCGGGCAATGCACTACCACCCTCATAATGCTTCATTTTGTAGTTTTGTAGTATTTAATGTGAAAGTCACTTATTGAGCTTCTATTATGTACAACACTTGGTAATCTGGTAGGCAAAACTTGAAATCCACAAGCAAGGTAGTAGAATGATCTAATTCAATCCACCTCTGTCTTCTAATGTCTTTAAAGACACTGTGTTATATTGATTTGACTGCAAAAAGAAAAAAAGAAAAAGAAAAAAATCAAGTTATTTTTCCTTTTATGTATTTGTGAGTTTTCTATAAAAGTGTTCCTTATTCTTAGAGTAGCACCCATTTCAATTTTTATTCTGCAGTTTTCCTTCATCGGTCATAGTTTTTTACTCTTTTTTCTGCTTGTGCACCAATCGGAAGGTTCTTTGGAGAATATTCATTACAATACTTAAAATCAGTGAATGTGGGGACCATACAGAGCACAAGAAATAAGAAAATTTGAGTTCTTCTATAAAAGATTGTAGAAAGCAAGGGTCTGTGCAGTTATATGAATTTCTGAGGATCAGACTATCCAGTTAAGAAGTTTAGCCTTGAGCTTCTAGAGTCTCAGTTTATACATCTTCACTGTTCTTTCAGCCAGAGCTCAGTGCTATCTGTCTGTTTTTACTTGGCTTTTTTTTACTAGTTCCATTATTGACTCTTTTTTTTCTGTATTTGTTCATGTTATTCCCTTCAGAGATCAAAGCTCTTTGAAGTCAGGCATTAACTGTGTCAAGAAATCTTGGTACATTTTTAAAGCATCTCATTGAATATTTCATAATTCAATCAAGAAATTGGACAATTTTGAAATAGATTACAAATGGAAAAGCTAATAACAAATGTTCATGATTCCAGGACAAAGCTATTAAAATCAGCCCATGATTTTCATGATAAAATCAGAAAGCTTGTATGAAATCTTAATTCAGTACATGAAACAATCAAATTTCATGAAAAGAGACTGCCACAAAAAATGAAAATACAAATCAGCCAAAGAAAATTTTAAATTATTTTCCTAGATGATGCTTGCAATGTATGATTTTTGTTTTTATATTGACAACAATATAAAGAATTGAGTTAACATTAGAGTTAAAATTAGTGACACAATATCTCAATATTTTCCATATTAATATCATCTTAAAATAAAAAGATGTGGTTATTTCTTATTTGATAACAGGAAAGATAATCAACAATTAGCTAGAACTTTTACTGGCTAAATAAAAAATAAACTGTATGAAGAAATTGAAAATGTTTATTATTTTGGATAGCCAAAAGTTTTTATATTTTACACTTCAATTAAAATGATAACATTTGCCAAAGCCAAATGTATATCTTTAAATACAGACATTTATGGACCATGTAATACACATTTAAAATTAAATATTTCTGTAATATATGTATACTTATTAGATAATATTATTTGAATAATATAGTGTTAAATGAAAATTATAATAAGAATGTTATTAAAGGGAGAACATGCTTTGAAGATGAGAGAGGGTGACAGATGCCTGAGTCTTAAACTCATTGCTTCTTCGCCTCTTCTAATTTCTTATTTCAACCCAATTCCAAAAGTCTGAACCTGAAACCTATTTACTCCTGAGAAAATTGTCCTCTGCTCATCATTCAAACCATTGATTGCCTCCTGTTTCAATAGTAAGTTCATTTATCAGGCAAGGATATAGTCTTCTCAGTCCCAATCTGGTCATATGCATCATATGATTAATTTTTAATTTCTTCATCCATTTTTTCTCCATAATCTGAATATCTTTCTGTGACCAGAAAAAAAAAATATACCATCTAACTGGGAGAGTCTAGGCCCACTTAGGAATGAACCCAACTCTGGATCTCATTCTCACTTACCAATCTAGCTTATATTTAACCTAGAAGTTCTCTACATATCAACATGTCTTCGCAGAAGTCCCTATTGCGGGCTTAATACTAGAAGTAATCTATGGTTTTTCTTGAGCTTCCCGTCCTCTCACAATACAAGGACTAGATTATTTCACTCTATTACTAAGAGAAAGAGAATATTCATTATTATGGAAAAATGCTCTCCAAATATTTGGATATGTAAGTACTATGTTGTAAGCATCTTGAAAAAAAAATATAAACTAGATATTTGGTGAAACTCTTAATAATTTTGCTAAACCTTAGCCTTTACTTAACTTCACAGTCTTGTAAAACATTGCTCCTATGTCTTTGTTCCCTTTTAACTAAAAAGAAGAATTTTCTGGTTATGAATGGAGTGATATAAAATGGAAAGTTTTACAGAATATATTGAAAGATACATCATACATTTTTAAATATAAAAGCTTTGATTTATATTTTTAAAATTCTTTCATGTGGTACATTTTAAAAGATAGAATAATTTCTTAATGTAAACATATTATATCTTAGAAGCTAAGATACAAGTTTACCATCAAAATGAGATCAATCAATTTTCCTTATAGCCAAATGGCAACATCTGATTTCACATCCTGGAATTCATTATAGGTAAATGAGCGTGATCGTCTCCTAAGATTTGTTGGTCTCCGAGGTCTTCCTTCTATCAATTCTAAATAGATGTCAGATTTCAGAAAACGCGTGTAGCTGTCTTGTTCCATGAGTTGATATACTCTGCTTTGTGCAGCATCAAAACTGTGGAGGGTAGGTTGGGTGATGCTCTTAGTAATGACTTCTTTGGTGTGAAAATCAAGGTTAACCTGGACAAGCAGGAAAAAAGTGCAATTACAGTCACTTTACTTAAGCAAACACCTAGATTGATGCAAAGTTAGAGCAGGCCTAGCAAGATTGGACGCATGCATGGTTTTCCTCAGGGGGCATAGGGTGATTTATTCTGGCCTGGAATTCCATTTGGCTCTTCTGTCTATGCTCCTCACCCTTCTCACTTTCTAATTTAGAAAAATGCAATATTGCAATGGATGTAGCATACACAGTGTTGGTTGAACTCGCTGACTTTTTAAAGTGGGGAACTAAACTACATAGACAAAATTGAGTGATGGAAAACAGGGAGGTTGGGAAATATCTAGGATTTTAATGAGACTTCTGTTGATCCCATTGATTATTTCGTTACATTATGACATTTCCTACAAACAAACATATGCTGAAGTATAGACGTTTCTTAAAGACAAAAATCCTTTAAGACCTTTTATTATAGTACCATTGATATACCTGGTCTGGTGGTGGTGAGTTTTCAAGTAGGAAACCAGTGTTTTTTCCTCCTGTGTAACAAGATACCGTTAGCTACCCTCCTCACTGCTTTGAGATATGTATAAATTTGGCCTCAGGGAAGACAGAATAATATATTGAAACACAAAAAAGATTGAAAAATACTAAAACAAGGAAAATAACCATCATTTCTAATGGTGTAACATCCACATAGAAAATGCTACTCCATGGGTAATGTTATGATTTGGATCTTATATGGTTCCCAAAAGCCCATATAATAAAGGCTTGGTTGACAGCGTATGGTGTCATTGGGAAGTGCTGGAACCTCTAAAATATGAGGCCTAGTTGGAGAAAGTTAGATTAGTGGGTGTGCCCTTGAAATAGATATAGGAACCCTGGCCCCTTTTCTTTCTCTTTTTGCTTCCTGGCTGCCATAGTTGAGCAGTGTCCTCTGCCATGCATCTCCACCATGATGTTCTGCCTTGCCACAGACCCAACAGGGCCAAGCAACCACAGGCAGAAACCTCTGAAGTGATAATTCAAAATAGATTTTTTTTTCCTTTCAGTTGATTTCTCTTAGCTGTTTGTCACAGCAACTTCTAGAAAGTTGATTAATTAAGACAGTATTAATTTACAAACAAAACTTTAACAGCAACAGACCACCAATTCCACCATCTAAATAAAGAATCACCATTTATTGAATACAATAGAAATTGTAGAGAAATTTATAAATATAAACTCTAATTAATATGATAATATTTGCTAATCTCATAGCCATTTTAGCAATTGTATCACAGTTACCTATTGAGTTTGCAGTCAAAGAAAACCATGTTTTGTTTTGTTTTCCATTTGATCCATTGTCAAATGTGTTTTACATCATCTATTGGGATATTTTCTTTTAGCTTATTTTGAAACAGAGTTATAATTCTTTGGGGCAAACAAAACTTTATATAGATAGATAACATTAAAATGGTACATGTTATAAACACTTCTCTGATTTTCTTGTTTTGTCACTGTTAGAAATCTTTAGTTTCTATGAGGGGCTGCTTGTGTTAAAGTGATTAACCTGAATGCCTGAAGAAATCACCAAGTTGCAGTTAATTGTATTCATTCTTAGTCTACATGAAAATAACTGAGGAGGGACTTCACTTTACCCTCTCTTCCATGATAATATCTTAACAATGTGTTCTATTTACATACAGGAATCTTTATAGACTATTTATATTAATAACTACTTTTGCTTCAACAAAAATTTTGAACTTTCCAATAAAATGTATGGGGAAACCAATTTGATTAAGGCAGATTCTCTCAAAAAATTTTCAAGCAGCTGTAAAGTTTTCCAGTCATCTTTACTATACTGTACCTCTTGGGGAGCATCACTCTGTATAAATTTCTCATATATTGCTTTTGCTTTAAGTGTAATTTGTTGAGGTTCCTTGTTTTTCTTGAAATCTTCACAGGCTATCCAAAATTCGATATTTTCTTCACTGAATTCAGTCTTAAGAAATCTGGTGAAAGCGTCCAGTCCATCTACCAAAAATACATATAAATATATATATTATGACTACAAAATGTCAATGTGGGGAATATGTGCTACTTGACATTAAAACAGAAGTACAAACACTAATAGAAATACTACACCTTCCCTGTAATGCTACACAGCAGCACACATCTGGTGCAATTTACAAGGGATCTTCTATAATTTAACTGCAAAAGTGAAAGCTTCAATTCCTGTTGAAATAAGGCTAGTATCATACTTAGATCTAAGTCCTTAGACCTAAGAGTTAGGGGGACCTCTATTGTGCACTCAATTTATGTCTGTTTTTATTTGTGCCTCTCCCAGAGTGTGAGACCAAGAAGCCTTTCACTTGGAGCCCATCTTACATGGCTCTAGACTGTGTTTCTGGTACTCAGGACCTTAGAATTCTCTGTACAGTTTGCTAGGTTTCCAGGATTTGCATGACCCCCTATTCCCAAGACCATCCACAAAAACACACTGACACATTGTTGAGTCAAAATTGCAGGTGGAAGCATCTACTCAAAAGTGCAGGGAGGCCTCTTTACAGTGGGGAACTAAATTACCCTGGATGGAAACAGAGTTCACCATGCTTAATCTTTACAACTGTGAAAGGGCTCAAGACTTTAAATTCAAATATAACCCTTCAAATGATTTACAAAGTATCTTTGTCTAAGTAAAAGGATAAAATGTATATTTAAGCAGTTTTTGGCTCAATCTCTAACTCTTAAGCATTTAGACCTAGTATGAGGCTTTGTTGTTTTTTTTTTTTCCTTTTTACCTGAGTCCCATAAATGTTAGGGGGAGGTTTCAAGTCTTGTGGAAGACTGCTATGAACTCAAGTTCATATTTAGAAATTAACCATGTGGCCCTGAATGAATTACTTTTTCTTGTACTTTAGTTTATCAATATTTACAATTAAGACAACAACAATAATATCTTCCTGATAGGGCTGTTGAGAGGGTTAATTGTGGTAAAATATGCCAAGGCCTTAGTATACAGACTGGTACATAGTAAGGACTTGATAAGGATTTCAATGGTGGTGGTGAGGATGGTGATAACATTCTTGGTGATCAATTATTTAAAGCTCAGTCAGATAAAATTATGTTACATAGATTTAAAATAAAAAAGTGGCAGACTTTGGATTCAGCCATAAGAGAGTTTGACTTCAAACCAGTGTTCGTTTAACTATTTTTAAAATTCTATTTTTTTTGACCTATAGGCATTTGAAAAAGTTTTTTTTTTCATTTTAAGAAAGTAATAGATTTACATGTACTTATAGGGAATAATAGAGAATCATGTACCTTTTGTCCAGCTTCCACCATTAAGAACTTGCAAAAATATAATAAAAATCACAACCAGGAAAATGACATTAATTGATAAAATCAAGGATATTTCATGTTGCTCTTTTTAAATCATATTACTGTCTCTCCCACCCCCAGCTCCTTTTTAACCCCAGGAAAATCTGTATAGACTATTTATATTAATAATCACTTTTGTTTCAACTAAATCTCGAACTTTCCAATAGAATGTATGGGGAAACCAATTCAATAAAGGCAGATCCTCTCAAAAAATTTTCAAGCAGTTATAAAGGACATCTGTGTTATTTGGAGTTTGTTGTTGCTCCTGCTGCTGTTGTTTTCATATACAAAACTGCTACATAAATTTATGTACAGGTTTTCAAGTGTAAACATAAGTCATCATTTCTCTTGGATAAGTCCCAAGAAAGTGGAGTTGGTTGATTATATGGTGGAAACATTGTAGAAACATTGATGGAGGGAAAATATGTGTTTTTGTGGACTTCCAATTAAACTTCCTCAGAGGAAATCATATCTGAGTTGGGTTTAAGTCATTTTTAGCAATCTTCAGACTTATTCTCAGTAGTGTGACTCTCTAATTGTGGCCTATTTCTGTTCCTACTACCACAGGTAAGTTTTTACACAGGAAAAGGTCATGAATTCTACTTGGACTTCTAACTTGTTGTTGTACTGACCCCCTTTTTTAAAAATTAATTTTCTGTTGGTGCATGATAATTATACACAACCCTGGGATTCATTGCGATGTGTTCATAAATGCATGTAGCACAATTTGGTCGATTTCATTCCCCAGTACTTTCCTTTTCCTCCCTCCATCTCTGCCCCTCATCTCCACACTCTACTCCTCTACTTTGACCACTTCTTCTTGAAATACTCCTCTTTACATGATTCTAGAGCTCCATATGTCCAAGTTCACATGGTTCACTTCTCTGTGCAATTATCTGTATATGTTTAATTTTGCTACATATCCCATTGAATACAGGCATCTCCTTTTCTCTACTCTTCTATCTTCCCTGTCTCTTTGCCATCCACCTGTCTTTGGGCATTTTTTTCTTTACTCACTACTATACTTTAAACACGTTGTCGACACCTGCAGGCTAAAAGAGGTATCACAAACAACTTTGGAAAATAGTTTCTTTGAGTTAAAATTTGATATCTTTTTTTTTTTTTTAATTTTTTATTGTTGGCTGTTCAAAACATTACATAGTTCTTGATATATCATATTTCACAATTTGATTCAAGTGGGTTATGAGCTCCCATTTTTACCCCATATACAGATTGCAGAATCACATCAGTTACACATCCATTGATTTACATATTGCCATACTAGTGTCTGTTGTATTCTGCTGCCTTTCCTATCCTCTACTATCCCCCCTCCCCTCCCCTCCCCTCCCCTCCCCTCTTCTCTCTCTGCTCCCTCTACTGACATTCGTTTGTCCCCCTTATATTATTTTTCCCCTTCCCCTCACTTCCTCTTGTATGTACTTTTGTATAACTCTGAGGGTCTCCTTCCATTTCCATGCATTTCCCCTTCTCTCTCCCTTTCCCTCCCACCTCTCATCCCTGTTTAATGTTAATCTTCTTCTCATGCTCTTCGACCCTACTCTGTTCTTAGTTACTCTCCTTATATCAAAGAAGACATTTGGCATTTGTTTTTTAGGGATTGGCTAGCTTCACTTAGCATAATCTGCTCTAATGCCATCCATTTCCCTGTAAATTCTATGATTTTGTCATTTTTTAATGCAGAGTAATACTCCATTGTGTATAAATGCCACATTTTTTTTATCCATTCATCCATTGAAGGGCATCTAGGTTGGTTCCACAGTCTAGCTATTGTGAATTGTGCTGCTATGAACATCGATGTAGCAGTGTCCCTGTAGCATGCTCTTTTTAGGTCTTTAGGGAATAGACCGAGAAGGGGAATAGCTGGGTCAAATGGTGGCTCCATTCCCAGCTTTCCAAGAAATCTCCATACTGCTTTCCAAATTGGCTGCACCAATTTGCAGTCCCACCAGCAATGTACAAGTGTACCCTTTTCCCCACATCCTCGCCAGCACTTGTTGTTGTTTGACTTCATAATGGCTGCCAATCTAACTGGAGTGAGATGGTATCTTAGGGTGGTTTTGATTTGCATTTCTCTGACTGCGAGAGATGGTGAGCATTTTTTCATGTACTTGTTGATTGATTGTATGTCCTCCTCTGAGAAGTGTCTGTTCAGGTCCTTGGCCCATTTGTTGATTGGGTTGTTTGTTCTCTTATTGTCTAATTTTTGGAGTTCTTTGTATACTCTGGATATTAGGGCTCTATCTGAAGTGTGAGGAGTAAAGATTTGTTCCCAGGATGTAGGCTCTCTATTTACCTCTCTTATTGTATCTTTTGCTGAGAAAAAACTTTTTAGTTTGAGTAAGTCCCATTTGTTGATTCTAGTTATTAACTTTTGTGCTATGGGTGTCCTATTGAGGAATTTGGAGCCCGACCCCACAGTATGTAGATCGTAGCCAACTTTTTCTTCTATCAGACGGCGTGTCTCTGATTTGATATCAAGCTCCTTGATCCATTTTGAATTCACTTTTGTGCATGGCGAGAGAAAGGGATTCAGTTTCATTTTGTTGCATATGGATTTCCAGTTTTCCCAGCACCATTTGTTGAAGATGCTAGCCTTCCTCCATTGCATGCTTTTAGCCCCTTTATCAAATATAAGGTAGTTGTAGTTTTGTGGATTGGTTTCTGTGTCCTCTATTCTGTACCATTGGTCCACCCGCCTGTTTTGGTACCAGTACCATGCTGTTTTTGTTACTATTGCTCTGTAGTATAGTTTGAAGTCTGGTATCGCTATACCGCCTGATTCACACTTCCTGCTTAGCATTGTTTTTGCTATTCTGGGTCTTTTGTTTTTCCATATGAATTTCATGATTGCTTTCTCTATTTCTACAAGAAATGCCGTTGGGATTTTGATTGGGATTGCATTAAACCTATAGAGAACTTTTGGTAATATTGCCATTTTGATGATGTTAGTTCTGCCTATCCATGAACAGGGTATATTTTTCCATCTTCTAAGATCTTCTTCTATTTCTCTCTTTAGGGTTCTGTAGTTTTCATTGTATAAGTCTTTCACCTCTTTTGTTAGGTTGATTCCCAAGTATTTTATTTTTTTTTGAAGATATTGTGAATGGAGTGGTTGTCCTCATTTCCATTTCAGAGGATTTGTTGCTGATATACAGGAATGCCTTTGATTTATGCATGTTGATTTTATATCCTGCCACTTTGCTGAATTCATTTATTAGCTCTAATAGTTTCTTTGTAGAGTCTTTTGGGTCTGCTAGGTATAGAATCATGTCATCTGCAAATAGTGATAATTTAAGTTCTTCTTTTCCTATTTTTATGCCTTTAATTTCTTTCGTCTGTCTAATTGCTCTGGCCAGTGTTTCGAGAACTATGTTGAACAGAAGTGGAGAGAGAGGGCATCCCTGTCTTGTTCCAGATTTGATATCTTTAAAAGACTTCTCATTACAAGAAATCATCAAAAGAAAAATCTCTTCATCTCAAAATTCCTCTAGCTACTGAAACATCTTTCCTCCTTATAAATATAAAGTCTTCTATTAGTTTTCTGTGCTTGGTCTCTTAATCTTCTCGGCCTCATTTACTTCCCAACACACTGAAATGTGGTTCTTCTTCAACACTCTACTTAAATTATTTTT